TCCTATTTTGAGACACTTATAGGTTTAACCTAAGGATCTAAGACTTCCTTTTATGTATGTGTAAAGACTCAACAAAGGTAGCTTGTAATCCTAGGCCACTAGAGCTAAGATGTAATTCCTAATGTTGACCACAACAGTAGGGAATCTATTAGATGTGGGACATTAAAAAAAGGTTAAACTCTAGTTAAGATGTTTTCACGATAATTAAATAGGACGTGCATCCAAAATAACGCAGTTACATAATTCCTATAATCTTAAGCATACTCAGACCCAAGTATAGAGCCTTGTTCATAGTATGTGATGAATGTGTAAGTAGAAGTGTGTGAGAGAGCACAAAAATAGCACCAAGGACCATTCTTTTATACATGAAAAAGGGAAGCACATAAAAAATTTGTTTGGTTTAGTATTGTATGAATAAATGAGCATCAAAATAGAAAGGAGGGGGACTTTAAAGGGGAAAAAAAGAAATAAAAAGTGGATAAGAAGATGAACGGAAGAGTGTGAGAAAAAAAAACAATAGAGAAAGGGAAAGATTAGAAGAAGAAAAAAAGAGAGAATAGAGAACATTATAGAAGAACAAACAACAACAAAAAAAGGAAAAAGAAAAGGGATTGGAGGGTCTTCTTCTCCAATTTTGCAAACTCTACTACTAAGAATAGTTAGCCAACAAATCTAAGTTTTCAATATCATATGACATGTCTCTATCACCATGATCTTTTCATTACTATTAAAGTTATAGCTACAAAGCTAACTTCTTTTCTAAATTAATTTTGTAAAGGTACGAAAACTTTGTAGGTCTTTCCTTTTTATTTCTTCTATTTTAGTCTTATTTTAATAATATAATAATAAACATAATAAATATATATTTTAGTGAAGTATGATTTTTATTTCTTATCATTGTAAATAATAATAAAATAGTAAAAAGATTAGTTAAATGAGATAGAAATAATGTTAAAAGTTAAAACTTTTACTATAATTTGCATGATATTTTTATTTTTACTATTTTATTTAATTATATACTTATCTTATTTATCTATAGTGCTTTTATTTTTGTCAATGTATTATTTGTATACAAAGTGAACATAATTTGTTGAAAATTCATGCATTATTTCTTTATTTTATTATTAGTCAATTATATTTTCTTTTAAAATTACATAATAATAAATAAATAAGATATTTACATCAATTTATAATATAATGTATATCTTCTTTATCGTTATGCATTATAAATTGATAAGACATATGTGTACTTACATTAACTTAAATTTTATTTTATATAAATTTATCATTTTATAAATTTAATTAATTAAGTAACTATTTTATTTATTAACTAAATATATTTTATTATTATTAATTAATTAAAAAATTAAATCAAAATTATTTACTAATGTAATAATTAATAATTGTTTAACAACTCTACCTTTACGTGTTTACCTACGTTGTCTTAAGCCTCACATAATATATAAATATTTTCAAAACATTAAAGTGAATTTTGTTTATTAGACACCAGTTTTATTAACTAAAATATATTATTTTAAATATTTTCTTTCTTCAATTATAAATAATACAAGTTTATCTTAAATTAAAGCATAAATTCATTTTTAAATTAAGTAAATAATTAATATATTAATTTCTTAACCAAGTTAAAGTCATATTAATGTAGCGATTGATAAATGTCATTATGTAGTGTCTCTATCTTTGTGTATTATAAATCATTAAGACCTTTGTATACCAACCTTACCTTAGATGAGTGTAATAAAAATTTGTTAAATTATATTTTAATTTATCTTAATAAACAATTCTTCACCAACCAATCTAATTTTTTTTCTCTTTAAATATTTCTCCTTTCATTAAATATAATTAATTTTATATTAAAAATATTAAATTATGTTTCTAACTTTAATAAAATTAAACAACCAAATATTTAACTACTTAAATTTATTTCTCTATTTTATTATCTAATATTTTGCTGTACTAATATGCAATTTATATCACGAATAAATCTCAAAAGTTACAAATTTATTTCTATAAAGAAAGGACAAAACTAATTTTGAAAACAATTTTTTTAAAAATTTTATAAATTTCAAACTAATAAATTAATTTTAAAATTTTTATATTAGAACTACGTTACTTTAACTTTGATAAATTTCATGAACCAATCAACAATTTTTAAATTAATTTTTTTCTTTCCTTTAATATCAATCAATATTTTTAATATATAAATAAAAATGATAAAATATATATAGTAAATTTTTGAATTTAAAGTTAAATAAATATTTTTAAAATTCTAATAAATTTACACAATTATTTTGCTAATATTAATATCTTCATGTTGATACACGATTCCGAGCCCATTTTTAGTTTCATAAATCCTTCTTCAAACACATGTGCCATGATACATGGCACAAACGAACATCTATGAAAAGTTAGTGTCTGTTGAAGTTTCCTCTGCAACCGCTCATTTGTTAAATTTGATTTCGACATATAGTTTCCATTTCCAACTTTTACCCTTGAAGAGTAGTATTTATCAAGATTTGTGATTGTGTTGTATTCCGAAGTCATGTGATGAGTGCAACCAGAGTCTACTAGCCAAGCATAAGTTCTAAATAGTTATATAGCACATGATCAAACTGTTATCTATTTCTGCATTTTATGTCTGGTCTGAACCAGCAAACTTTGTCTGTGTTTTGTCTTTTTTGCACTTTGGATAAAGGTGAAAATCTCTACTTCTTTCCCACTTTTTGTTCCAACTTGGGTAGTAAGGTTTTCAAATTATAGACTATTTTAGTTGAATTTTCTTAAATGTCTAGATTTTCTCTGTTGTATAAACATTAAATAGACCTCGTGTCAATTGGAGAAGGATATGCTTCATACATTTGAATAGTCCCACGTAAAAGTAAAACTCAGATGCAAGTACTTTAGTTGATGAAATGAGGAATAGAGTCATCTTGCAATACATTTTTTTTTCTTTTTTTTTTTCAGTTATTTCAGAAATATAAAGAAGATCAATATAATTTAAAGCATGTTAGGGAAATGAAACTCACTCAGGGAATCAAGTAAGCGAGTGCATCAATAGAAGAAGGTGTGCATTGTTTCATGTCAAGTAGTCATATTATTCCGTCATATATATTCAAGTGGCAGTTCATTAAATAGCTTTTGAAATGTTAGATTCGTAGTTTAGCAAGTCTACATGCCAGAGTTTGATAAATCCTTGATTGCAGTATATTTAGACTTCTTTTGAAGTGAATTACGTTTGAAAATAAACCATATTAATTAAGTGTAAATATTAGTCATTAATTGTAATTTCTTATAGAAACCTTGTATTAATCGTTTGTGGATTCATAGAATATTTCACGTAAATACTTGTCATTTTGGTTGAAATTGTGTATCAAATTCACTCAAGACATGCAGCAAAGAGAAAAAGAAAGTTATGGATTGACGAATGTTAAAATGATGGAAAGTAATTGTTAGAACATTGACCGTAAGGTTGAAAAAGAAACTCTTTAGACACCATGCGTTTGAACATTTACCTTTCAGTATTTCGATGTTCACCTTAAAACAATGTACATTAAAAAGTTCCAATCGCAGTTTCTGAACATTGCCCAGAACACAATAGATCTTCTGCCTGATCTATTGAGTTAAACTGTATATTATTTTTATTTTGAGTTTCTCGCCTTCTCCCAATAGATCTACCTAGACCATTGTTTGAAAATGAACATCAGTTCTAAAATTCTACTTCTGGGCCTTGCGACATTGCCGTGTACAATGAGAACAACTACCCTAGTGTAAGCGTTACATTATTAATTATGTATTATGTTGTTTTTTGTCTACCTTTTTAGTTAATTGCAAGCATTTTTTCATATAAGTAGTTTGTCTTTTACCAGTCATATTGTTAGTTTTTGCTGCTAAAAAGATGGGAACTATACTAACTAATGAACTTCTAACACGAAATCCATATGCAAGCTTTTTCTCCATCTACGAGGCCAATGATTGGAGTTCAAATAGTCATCCAGTATGTTAACTGTATATATTGTACAATACTTGTTAGGATTGTAGTTTGCCACGTATAAATATTTCAGATTTTTCCATGGTCTTGTATATTGGGGGTAGAGTTTTGGAATATGATTTGGTGATCCAAGTTTCTCGCCTCAACTAGGCTAAGAGTGATCAATAGTTGGGCCCAAATATTTTACAACCTAAAACCACAACTGCATGGCCCATCAGATTGGGATTATGTTAATTAAATAATTAATCAAACTGTAACCATGCTAGTAATAGTACCTATTCTTTATACATTATCTTAATAATAAAAATTATATTAGAGAAAATGTGTGAAAAAGATATTGCAAATACTTACATCAAAAGAACAGGAGTGCTCTCTTTTATTTAACCAAATATTTTTTTGTATATTTTAGTTTTACTGATGATTATAAACATGTCAGTTTAGATAAAGTTAAATTTTTAAAAATTATAACAAAAATATTAAAGAAATTAAGATTTTTTTATGTTTGTTAAATTTTACATATATAAATTTAAAATATAAAATTTTAAATTTTAATATCAATAAAATTAATCATTCATGTAAGTTAGATTTTGATTATAGTTTTAATGATATTTTTTATCATTTTTTATTCAATTTATATTATTTTAAAAAATATATCTTTAAATAGGACACTTGCTAAGCCAATTCTAAAAGTGAAGCAGAATTAAAACTCAAATAATTTTTTTACGAGTTGCTGCTAGAAGATTGCAGTGAATTGACCCGTTTTGATATTCTTACTTCCTCACCTGAAGACGCAAGTGAATCCACCCAGTTCTAAATTTTGCTTTGGGTCAAGTGTCATGTGCCTGCATACCTCTAGATAAGGCTATTGCTGTTGTTGTTAATCCATTTGAATCGTGTGGAAAATGAAAGTAAATTTACGTACAAGGAAATATCTTGGTATTAGAAATTTGATTTTTAAAGTATCTTGTTTAGTTGCTAAATAATAGGCTTGAAATAAGTAACAATATAAAAACCATTTTAGTTCCTCTGTACACGAAAATAGATGGATCATAGCAATCATGCCCAAACTCTCAAAATTCATCCACTCAGGATCACAGGAGAAGGACACAGGCTTAGCATGTCATTGGATACAAACTTAGTTGCCACTAAATGTTTGAATGATGGTGTTGTGCCACGGGTCTGAGAGGTGCTGCAAGAGGTTATCAAATGGTCCTTGCCCTGTCACGTTGTGTTGAACAATAAATCCCAAGAATGCCAACATCGCCAATCTCCCTACATAAATTGCAAAATCACAAGGTTAGATAAACAATTTCACCCAGAAAGCAAAAAGGCCCTTGTGCTGTGCAATTGTAGCTAGAGATAACAAAAAGATGTACCATTTGCAAGCTCCTTCTCTTTGGCCTCCAAAGTTGGTGTAAAGTTTAAGGGGTTAAATATGCCACCAGGGTATCCACACTCATGCGGGGCTAAGCTGTATTGCTTGAAGATGGGATCCTGGTTGACACAGCCGGGGTTCTTAATGTCTTGCCATCTTCGGATTTCCACATAATGGAACAAAATGAACTCAATCACAAAGAGGGTTGAGGATGATGCAAAGTACTCGGATTTCCCAGCATCATACCATTTAGGCACATTTATGATTCCAATTTTGGTGAAAACCTCAGGAAGCAACATCCCTGCGACACCCAACATGGCCCAACGTCCATTCACAAGCTCAGCTTGGATATACCACTTCAAGTTCTCCGGGTCCTCAGCAAGCCCCAGAGGATCAAACCCATTGTCACCAGGAAGACTAATAACACCACAAAACACACATTTTAACACGTTAACAATTATAACCAACACATATATTAACACTCAATTTGAAGAATAGACACGTAAACATACTAGAAAATAAATTTTAAACTATGTTATTTATGTTCATTGCGCGTACCATTTAAAAGAGAGTAATTAATATTTAGACTATAGTACTATTTTGTTTAATTAAACTCTATCCTCCTACATGTGACGTTTATTTTTAATCTGATCTTAAAATCAAATTTTCAAATTGAACCTCAGACATGAAATTATTATTAATTCAACCCCTTGTCATTTCATATAAAGAGTAAAATTGAAAACATATAGACCAAAATTCGGTATCCATACGACGTGGCATACTAAACTAGAATCAACTATATGTAATAATCAGTTTATAAACTTTATTAGTCTAAGAAAAGTATAAACAAAAATAAAAGTATGAGTTAAGAACATGTGGATATATTACGTACCTGCCATCGAGGTAAGCTGGGGAGGGCAAGCCAGGTAGCCACTCTCCTTTCTTGGCTTGAACCTTGAAAGAGGCAGAAGGAGGACACCCCATTGGCCTAAAAGTCACTTCCCTGTTGAGTTTACCGGAAGAGCCGGTGAGGAACCTTGATTTTGAAGCACATGGCCGAAAAATGGCGGCGGAAGCTTGGGTGGTGACGGTGGCCATGCTGAGCAGCTAGTGACACTGGCAGTGGCAGTGGCTCAGGAAGATGTATGTGATAATATTGTTTCGTGCATGCCTTAGGCTTATTTCATATGTATTATTTCCTTTTGGAGCCTTTCTTGTGGTTCTTGTCACCTGTTTGTGTTGCACCGTTGGTTCGTGCGATATTTGAGATCCAACGGTTAAGCAACGTTTTTGGCTTATCCTTTTATCTCAGCGTTATATCCTTAGATCCATTTCTTCAACGTTGTTGGCCGAGAGAAGATTTTGTGGGGTCACCAAATGCTACGTTGCAGGGTGGATGAGAGGGGTGGAAATATCGTCATCACCCAATTACTGTTAGACACCTGGCTAGCTTACCGTTTCATTCGATTCTAGCTAAGATATCCACACTTAACTATATGTCAAGTTATTTTCTTTTCGAATGTGTAAGAAAAATGTACTCATTGTTATTTAATTCAAAATGCATTGTAATCTTACTTAACTTTCACCATCTATGATTGTCAGATCAATGTTGTTCTTTTGGATCCAAATGATACTTACAGATATGGAACTTTTAACTTATTATTAGTGTATTGTATTTGAATTTACAATTACTTAGTTGTAATGTTTAGGTTGAATTTGCATTTTTAATATAATTTAAATATGCACTGCATTAAAAGAATTATATTATTTAATTAATAAATTCAAAAGGTCACACAGCCAGGTATATAAAAACAAAATGTACTATTGGAATATCATTAGCATAAAATTAAATACAACCATTATATTTGTTTAAAGTACGCTCTTTGTTATTTTAACTGTTTTATGTTATCAATAATTACATTTGAATTGAAAATTTTAATTAATTTACTTATATAAATACTATTTATCTAAGAAAATATATTTTTTTTACTATTAAAGGGGCTAAAAAAGCTTTAAAAAAAAAGAACTATACAATAAAATTAGAAGAACAGACTCCGCCCGAATCAAGACTCAAAAAAGGATTAAAGAGAGGTACTCTTCTCAAAACAAATGTTGTGCTTAGGGAGATCTAATCTCATTTTGGCAAGCAAATCAACACAATTATTCCCCTCTCTAAGACTATGTCTAAACTTGACAAACGGAATGGATTTTAACATACTCCTAATTTCAAAAATAACATTAAACATTGGGTGATTACAACAATGGATATTCAAAACTAATTGTAAAGCCTCCTTAGAGTCAGTTTCTATCCAAACAAGCTGGACATTCTTCTGGACCACTAATTGCAGTCCAAATAAAAGATCCCACAATTCAATAGCTAGGGAGAGCAGAAACTTAAACCCCTGTAAAATCCAGCTATCATTTGATCATGGCTATCTCTAATTAGACAGTCACATCTAGCAATTTTGTGAACCTGGGAGACAGTACCATTCATTTTCAGCTTTAGGTAACCAGTAAGGGGAGGAGACCATCTATCTTAAGAACGAATATCCATCGGATCAACACTTGTTTTGAATTTATCCCTGTAACAGGAAATCAAATACTCAAAGTCATGACAAATTCTTTGATTAAGAACACTGGGAGTAGCAACAGAAGAGTTGAAGATAACATTATTCCTTTCCTTCCATAGGTGCCAAACAATAATACCAAAAATTCTGCTCTAACATGGACTTGGGATTAGATAGATTATGAAATAGCCAATCAGACGAACCCATACTAAAAAAAGATGTCCAATTATTAGATAAAATGTAATAATCCCAGACTTTTTTTGGCAAACCAACAATCTCTAAGAATGTACATAATTGACTCAAGAGCAGCATTACATCTAGAGCAAAGGGGAGAATTACTCATACCTTTTTTGCATCTTTTCTTATTTATTAATAACCTGCCATGAGACACTTTCCATAAAAAGAGAACAATTATGAGAGGTTCATCCCATTTTCATATTATTTTAAAAATATTCTTACTCAGGACAGAATGCTTATCAATATTATTAAATAGGGAATAAGTAGTTTTTATAGAAAATAAACCATTACTCGATAGGTTCCAAAACATAAGGTCCTGACCTCTACTAACATTTGGGGACTTGACCTGAGCTATACCATCACAAATGAAAGGAGGAAACATCTTCCTGATCTTGGACCAATCCCAACTGCCTTGGGTAGAGAAGAGGGCCACATGGATATCATGGTCCTCCTCCGGGATAGAACACAGAGCATACAAAAGTAGGTTCTAGATATATGGAATCCAATTGTTCCCAAAAAACTTGGTAGATAATCCATCACTGACCACCCAACACAACCCTTTAGAAAAGATATTCCAGTCAGCAATTAAATTTTTCCACAGATAGGAGGGCTTATTGCCTAAACTAGGTTTCTTCCCTACACAAAATCTATATTTGTGATATATTACCTGGGCCCATAACTCATTAGGGGACTTAATCAATCTCCAAAGTAATTTCATCATGTATGCTCTATTAAGCAACGAAAGATCCCTGAAGCCCAGACCCTCTTCACTCTTGGGCTTACAAATTTTATCTCATTTAATTAAGTGACATTTCCTCTTTCCTAAAAATTCCCAGAAAAAATTCTTACATATACTATTAATTTTCTTATAAACAATGTTAGGAATGATCATAGTTTTCATAAGGTAGGAGGGGATACTCATTAGGCAAGATTTGGCAAGGGTGACCCTCCTAGCAAAGGATAAAGTATTTATTTTCCATAAAGTAAGCTTCTTTCTAAGTTTATCAATAATGAAAGCAAAATCTTTTCTACCTAGTTTTTTATTACTAATAGGAATATCAAGGTAGTTACCAAAGTTAGACAAACTTCTAATACCTAAACAATTACTAATATTCTAAATAAGAGCAGGGTCAGTATTGTTAAAAAAAAATAATCTTTTCTACCCTTTACTAAAATTATGTCATCAATGTGAATACCAATTTTTGCCTCTCCCGGATTGCCTCCAAATTTTTTTAAAAAGTAAAAATAAAATAATAAAATATTTTTACAAAAAAGTAGAAATTTTTTGAAAAAAGAGATTTGGCTCCTAGAAACAGAAATCCTGCATCAGGCAAGCCTAAACTCCAATATCAAAACCAACTCCATACATGAGAAAGGAAAAGTTCAGAAATTTGTCTCTATATAAAATCCTAAAAATAACCAGTATAAAAACACAAGAAAGAAATCCAAAAATAGGGCTTTCAGAAATAAAAAATTTTAAGAGCGGCAAAATCTTTAAAAAAAAATGAAGAGCTTTTGGAGAGGAAGAAAAAGAGGCACAAAGTTTTCAGAAAAGAGAGCAAGGATTTAGAGTTTTGCAAAAAGAGGGAAAATCAAGAATAAGAAGGAGAATACCAAAAAAATCAAAGATAAAAGAAGAGAAATTACACCGTGAATAAAATCTTCATTTTCTATTCTTCTTCAGACTTGAAGTTATATCTTAGTAGAGAATGAAATTGCAAGGTATATTTTTTTAGAAACAAAGCTCTTGTTTTTGCTTGCCTGCTAGTTTAGAATGTTGTAATAAGAAGTATAAGACTTCTTAAATGATAAAATACAAATTTGTAGATCAACTTTTGCTATTACGTAACCCTTTTTTCATTTTTTTTTCTTTTTATTTAACAATTATTTTATTGTTTTAATAAAGTTAATTTGAGTTGAAATGAAAGAAGGCAAAAGTTGGGACGTATGACAACATCTGTTGTCGTGCGTCAATCACATTCCATTCCTTTTTTTTTTTAGTTTGTTACTTCTTTATAATTTTTTTAAATTATTTTACTTCACAAAAATCATTCGAAACTTACAGTACACAAACAAAAGCTTAGTCATTTTGATTTTATTTATTTATTTATTTTCTTTACACTTTGATCTAAAAGTATAATTATTTTTTGTTTTATTTTATTTTATTATTTATTTATTTATTTATTTTTATTCTGTTATTTAATTTGTGTCATTTCATTATTATTATTATTATTATTTACTTTTATTATTTGTTACATTTATATATATATATATATATATATATATATATATATGGATCTTACTTATTATTTATTTATTTATTTATTTTTAATTTATTTTTGAAATCATTTATTGAATAACCTAAAGGATAGTGATAATAATAGTAAATGATCAAATTTGATTCGTATATCATAAAATTTTTATTTTTATCTTTATAATGTATTTAGTTTCGCTTAATTATTTATTTTTATGTAATTTTTTTAGTTTTTATTTTTATTATTTATTTATGATTTTGTTGTATTGCATAATCTCATAATGGGGGTGTAATTTAATTGCATGATTGTTGAATTTTTTTTTATTAAATAATAAAATAATTACGTCAATTTATAACACTAACGTATATCTTTTCTATCATCATATATTATAAATTGATAAAGTCTATGTGTACCTACGTTACGAAGACTTTATGTAATATTAATTTATCATATATTATCTTTAATTAATTAGTTAACCACTTTAATAATAAATTAATATATATTTTTCTTTTAATTACTAACTTAGGAATCAATCAACTAATTTAAATCTAAATTGTTTTATTAACAAAACAATTTATAATGCTAATGTGTAGTGACTATACCTTTATGCATTATAAATTGTCAAAAATCTAGGTGTATTAATGTTACCTTAGGTTTTATATAATATAAATCTAACAAATGAAATGTTTAATCTTTTTATTAAATAAGTATCTTCTTTAATCAATTCAAATAAATTTATTTTTACTAAAATAAAATTAATTTTATATTTTAAAATTTGTTGAATCATATTTATAATTTTGATAAATTAAATAACCAATCATTTATCTATTTTTATTATACAAATTTTTGTAACATCGATGTGTAATTTACATTACTTTCGATTTGTCCAAAAATTATAAGAGATTAATGTGTAGCTTATACTATCTCAAATTCTCTTTCAACCTTAATCATAATTTAAATCTAAATTCAAATATTTCATTTACAAATAAAAATACTTTTTAACGACTTGCAATATAGTTATGTGATCTTCCTTCACCTTCTGTATTGTTTCTCGTAGGGTACATGTATAACTGCGTTATCTTATATCTTAAATATTATAATTTTATGAAAATAATTTTAATAT